ATAATTTTTTGAAACTTGAAAACAAATACAAAAAAAAAAATGCTAAAAAAAAAAGTTACTTTAAGTTATTCTCTCTCTCTCTCTCTCTCTATATATATATACACTGAACAAAATTACAAACGCAACACTTTTGTTTTTGCCCCCATTTTTCATGAGCTGAACTCAAAGATCTAAGACTTTTTCTACAGTAAATGTAAATGTAAATGTAAATGCGCTCCATCTGAAAGCACGTGCTGGAGATTTACTACTAATCACAAAAGCGCCTTTACTGAGGAGATGCGCATGAAAATCGCATTAAATTTTTTTGCACAGCCCTACTTGTAGTTAGATAAGATTATTCTTATTTTCTTCATTTTTATTTGACAGTATAATTTTTCCCTAAACATAGCACATACCGAACCGTACTGAAACCGTGACTCTAAAACCGTGATACAAACGGAACCGTGAGTAAGTTGAACCGTTCCACCCCTACCACCTTCTAAAAGCGGTGCTAAGGTTGCGACTGAAAAAACAACAACCACCCAACCCAAAAAGACAGTTTGATGTGGACAAGCTGAAGAACGATGCAGTAAATCACCAATGCCAGCAGTGCCTTGCAAATGTGCTTCAAAATCCTGAGAATGGTGCAGTGGAAAAGCAATGGTCATTCAAACATATGGTGATATATTGTGCCGAAGCGATAGTAGGCAGGTGAAGATACCTGGAAACTGACTGATAAACATAGAACCCCTACACAGATTAAGGAATAAGCAAGGCCCGATTAAGACAGACAAGATGAAACAACAAGGTATCAGATACTTGACAAAAGAGTGAAGAATTTCTGCTGAAGATACTTTGCAGATGATATTGCTCTACTAGCAGAGTCGTGGGAGAAGCTACAGCAACTTACTACCAGGCTAGAAAGATTTGCACTTAAGATCGGTCTTTGAATCAACATCAAAATGACCCAAGTGATGCAAATGAGTGGGGAAGATGAAGATCTACTGATGCCAATCACCACTGACCAGTTGCTCACTGATATAGACCAGTTCACAAACTTGGGCAGTATGATCACACAAGATTAATTTAATTAATTAATTAATTAATTAAATATTAATTTAAACAATTATTATTAATAAATTATTATATAAATTAAATAACAAATTAGGGGTGTGCGATATTGACAAAAAAATGATATCTCGATAAATTTCTGGGATTTTATCGATAACGATAATTAGACGATATTTTGCCGAGTGTGTTATTGTGCACACAATTAATCTTTTCCAATAAGTTTTATGGCCATTTTTACCTTTAAGCCATTTTTTCTAAAAGTGTGCACCATCTTTTGAGTCAAATTCTTGCATTTGGGCTGTTACCAAGCAAATGAAATCAGTATCAAGAAAATGCATCTTTGCAATGTAGAGGAAACACAGAAGCTGCATCTGAAGTGGCATTTACGAACTGCACTGGCTACCTATTAAACATCGTATAGATTTTAAAATCTTGCTTATTACTTATAAAGCCCTGAATGGCTTAGCACCTCAGTATTTGAACGAGCTCTTGTTACATTATAGTCCTCCATGTCCGCTGCGTTCTCAAAACTCTAGCAATTTGATAATACCTAGAATATCAAAATCAACTGCGGGCAGAAGATCCTTTTCCTATTTAGCACCCAAACTCTGGAATAACCTACCTAACATTGTTCGGGAGGCAGACACACTCTGTCAGTTTAAATCTAGATTAAAGACCCATCTCTTTAACCTGGCTTACACATAACACACTAACACATTTCTAATATTCAAAGCCGTTAAAGGATTTTTAGGCTGCGTTAATTTGGTCAACCGGAACCAGGAACACTTTCCATAACACCCGATGTACTTGCTACAACGTTAGAAGAATGGCATCTATGCTAATATTAGCCTGTTTCTCTCTTATTCCGAGGTCACAGTAGCCACCAGATCCAGTCTGTATCCAGATCAGATGGTCACTGCAGTCACCCGGATCCAGTACGTATTCAGACCAGATGGTGGATCAGCACCTAGAAAGGACCTCTACAGCCCTGAAAGACAGCGGAGACCAGGACAACTAGATGAGCCCCAGATACAGATCCACTGTAAAGACCTTGTCTCAGACGGCCACCGGGACAAGACCACAGGAACCAGATGATTCCTCTGCACAATGTGACTTTGCTAGCCTGAAATTGAACTGCTGGTTTTGTCAGAGGAGAACTGGCCCCCCGACTGAGCCTGGCTTCTCCCAAGGTTTTTTCTCCATTCTGTCACCGATGGAGTTTTGGTTCCTTGCCGCTGTCGCCTCTGGCTTGCTTAGTTGGGGACACTTCATTTCCAGCGATATCGTTGACTTGATTGCAAATGATTGCAAAGATACTATTTAAACTGAACTGAGCTGGATGATGACATCACTGAATTCAATGATGAACTGCCTTTAACTGAAAAATGAGTGTTTACTATTGTCATTTTGCATTATTGACACACTATTTTCCTAATTAATGCTGTTCAGTTGCTTTGACACAATCTGTATTGTTAAAAGCGCTATATAAATAAAGGTGACTTGACACCCGGTAGCAAGTAACAAAACAACATTAAACTCCGGCAAGAAGATAAAATCCTTTTTGCAAAATCATAGACATGTATTTACAAATCAAGTAAATTGGAACACAGAATGATCTTGGAGAGAGCTTTACCGAACTGACTGTCGTAACCGAATGCGACCAGGGTTTAAGGCTGAACGAATGACTGACAGCCACAGCGGAGAAAAGAGTTTGTGTGAACTTTAATGTAAGGACTTAAATATTCATATGTAGCTCACATTAAGCTATCGTATGGCTTCAGAAGTAACACAGAATAATTCGCACAATCCGAAAAAAAACACAAAAAAAATCTCAGATTTGGATCGGCCCTCTCTGACCGATACCCGATCCGAGAAAAATGGCACTATCGGAGCCGATACCCGATATGAATATCGGATCGGCGCATCCCTACAAATTAACGGTGGTGATACAAAAAAATGTTGACTCCATACCAGGTTCTTCGTATCTTTTGTTTGTGTTTTTGTATTCACCACCATTACTTTGCCTTAGTGATGTTCAATACTGGCGAACCAGTATGAGTATGTTTTACTATTACTTGCCTGTAATTTGTACTATATGTTAATTGTTTATATTTAAAAAAAAATGTTTTAAGTGTGTATGTAGGATAGTTTTTTTTTTTCTGACCCTTATTTTTTCTTGATTTGTTTTCAGGCTCTTGAGAACAAAATAATCATATTTGTGAAAAATGAGCTAGAAAGGTTTAAGAAAATATTAAAAAAAGAGAACACACAGTACTTTGTGGAGGACTTTATAGGGGATATGTGCAGTATCAAAGAAGCAGCTCTTGATCTCACACTCTACTTCCTGAAATATATGAAGCAAGATGAAGCTGCCAATATTCTACGAGGTAAGAGAGGTCATATTGTCACTTATAAAATGAGAGAAATTAAAATACATGAGAGAAAAGTACAGTAAAATGTTTTTGTGTATTTTCTATAATATTTCACAAAAAGCATGCAATGCACGGCCATGGCTCACTCCTTATGTCACAATTCCCCGCTCTCTCGCATGAAGTCCCTATCATTACATTTTGTTACTGTGTTTGTGTCTAGATGCCCTGGTCTTCATTCATCAACAACGGCTAATATCTCGCCTGACGAAGAAGTATGAATCTGTATCTGAAGGAATTGCTAAGCATGGCGACTCCACACTTCTGAATAACATCTACACAGATCTCTATATCACTCAGGGTTGTAGTGAACAGGTCAATACTGAACATGAGGTGAGACAGATTGAAGTTGCTTCCAGACGTCATGAATCACAGGAGATACAGGTTGAGTGCACAAATGTGTTTGAAGCACCTGAACAAGACAAGCAGATCAGAACTGTACTGACAAAAGGAGTTGCTGGCATTTAATAGACTGATTCATGCAGTGAAAGAACGCACTATAAATGCACACGCACACTAGTCTAACCTGCTAGGTGTTTTGTTTGCTTTTCGCGATATTCTAGATAATATCAAAATCGCACATCGTTAAAACAACAATTACGATATTATCGCAGGCTATACATATTGCACACCCCTATACTGTTTTGATTTTTATAATGCATTGTCTTCTTATCGATCCACCAGTTCACATTTAAAGCTCTGCTTGTTTGCAGTGTAAAAACATCGGTGGATTTTCGCATTTGTCTGAACTCTGATCAAAACAACAGTTTTATTGAAATTGCACATTCATTCTCTGCCAGCAGGTGGAGCGTTTGGTAGAAATATGACTGTTTCCCCGGTAATGGAAGAACACAAAGTAGCAGCACCAGACTTTGAACGTGCAGCGCTGTGTTTATTTAATGAAATCATAGCCTTTTGAAGTTTAATCATCACATTTAGCCATATCACAATTCTGGTCTTTCCGTCCCCAAATTTAAGACCTCTTGAAATCAAAATTAAGACTTTATTGTACAATTTAAGACTTTTTAAGACCCCGCGGAAACCCTGAATATAGACCAAAAATGGTCTTGTCACAAACCTGGTTCATTTGAATGGTCAGAGTATGAAATAAAGACAATTGTATTTGTGGCATTCTCTATTTCTGCAGTCTTTTAGTTATTGATCTATTTTGCTGCTCAAAGGGTTTTTGATACTGCTATTAAAATTGTTGCTCTTACTCTTGTAGCACTTTCCATCTTTAACGGGAGAAAATTAACATGAACAGAGCATATAAGGGCTTGAATGAAGGGCGTTTTTTTCTAGATAGAAATTTTAGAGAATATAACATAGAAAGACCAAACAACCCTCAGCGCTTGTGGTGTGTACAGCTCTGTTATTTTGACACACTGCTGACTTTAAACTGTAGAAATGGTAAAATGGTTCTACCGTTGTCAGATGGTCCAGTTGGATTTTAGAATGTCTGGGCTAGATGGATAGCCACATATATAATCAGAAGCATGTGTCTGGGTTTTAAAGACTCACCAAAGAGCGTATAGTCAATATCTAGAACGAGCAATCTTTTTCCAGGTCTTGGGGGATTTAACTCCTCAACTTTATAGTCTTTCACCCGACGAGCTATCTTGGCCAAATTCTCCTCTCTGTATGAAAAGAAAACAAATATTCTTTGATGTATAGAAAGTAAAAAAATAAAAAAATAAAAAACTTTGTAACATTATAACATTAGAATGAATGAATGAATAGATTAATGAATAACTGGGTGTCACTGGCCTGTTTTCAACCTCAGTTACTTCGTCTTCAATGTCAAAGTCATTGACCACATCATCATTTTCTGGTGGAGGCGCCAAGACATCTTCCTATGAAAAGGGAACTAAGGTTATGAGATCCTTCACAAAAAATAAAACTTATTTTACGAATATAGAAAGCTTTAAAACTGTATTTTATCAGATAAAATCTAACCATGTTAAAAAAATTACTGGGTGGAGGCTACATCATTTAACAGCTTTCAGAAATATATGATTAAAATCAATAGTATTACCTACCAGACTTTCTTCTCTGGTTCCCATCATCATAATTTTGGTATTGGGCTTCAACTTCAAGTCACCCAGTTTGACATCATCATCTGCTGGTTTACCTTACAAAATAAGAGAATTAAACAACAACCTGTGTTTTGTTTTGTTTTTTCTTCTTTGCATATTGTGTATCAGTGTTGTTAAAGCAGCACTATGTAACTTTTGGCACTCTATAGCGGTTAATAAACATAACTGCACACATCCCGCGGAAGAACATTCCAACCGGAGCTACTTTTCTAAGTTTATGTCTATGGCGATTAGTGGTGGAAATTTTGATTCTTTCAAGAGATTCGTGCGATTCACGCAGGTATGTGTTACTTCGCAGCGGTGACGACCAGACCAGGCTACAATAGTCCAAATATAAGTACTTATTATAAGTCAAGTCAAGTCAAGTCACCTTTATTTATATAGCGCTTTTAACAATACAGATTGCATAGTGCTGCTTTAATGCTGCTCACCTTTCACTTTCAGTCCCAGGAGCTTCTGTCGTTCTGGGAGAACTCCTGTGAGAGATTTAATGGACTGTTTCAGATCCAACACAGTGTCCTCCTCAGACAGTGTGCTAATGGAGTACTCCTGTCCACCCCACTTTATAATAACGGAAACAGACATGCTGGTGGGCAAGCTGTGAAATATTTTATTTGTGTGTTTGTTATTTTTTCGTTATTGAGGTGATTAAATTATCTGTCAGCCTGTCCGAAACACAATGAAAACTTTATGGAGTGCATTAGCATATAGATGTTACCTTGGCAACGCTACACCATCAGAAGAGGTCCACTTGTCAAAACACAACAAAATTAATGGGTCAGGTGCTACATTACTGTAAAAAACAACATCAGCTTAAAACATAAGCTAGGCTTATGTCATGAATAACAGACTGAGCATTACTACATTTATGTGCTTGTAAAAAATGTATCTACTTGTAGATTTATTTGTTTTGCAAATATTTGTATTAAAGACGAGGGATGAACGGATCTGGCTGGCATATTGCTTTTAGTGAACAAGCATGCATTAGCCAGTTAGCTTTTAACTCATTAAGCTCTTTTTCTATGTAATGCATTTCTCACACTTGATCTGACTAATCGTAACCACACCACTAACTTCTCGATTAATTTCATCCAAGTCATCTATATCGGACAGACAAAAATAACAGGTAAATCCTGTAAAGGTTTCTCACTTACATAAGATACAATTCATTCAAAGCTGAAGCTGACTGCTGACACACGAGAGTTGCTTTGTTCTTCTTCTCTCTGCTTATGACTGCCTGACTACTGCGACCGCTGTGCCTACTGCCACCTGCTGTTGAAAAGTAGATCAAATAAATGCATTTTATTTGATCTACTTCTATAATAATAACTTTATTGGGAGTTATTAGCATATTGCCCGCCCACTTGTTGCGAGCGCAGACCTGGGAAAACTTGAACCCCCCACCATTTATTATTTGCCACTAGGTGCCGCTTTTGGAACGGTAAAAATAGCTACAGCACTGTGCTCACATGCTTTATCAGGCATTACATGATGAATGGAAATAAAACCGACCAATCACCGCAGATTAGCGTCACGCAAAGGAGGGGTTTGGAAAAATTAATCGTTGAGCCAATCGTTTGGGAGTTGTTGAGCAAATAAGGTAAAAAAAAGTGTTTTTTGACGTTGCATGCATATCAGCCTGTTGTTGGGGACTCCCAAAACCAAAATATAAACCTTTCATAACCCATAGCACTTTAACTGATTCGGAGTTTCAAAAAGCTCCGTTGATACTGTGTTCTTTGCTCGCTTTCTCTATATAATTTATTCGTTGTTTGAATAACCGTGGAAATTAAATCATTACAATTAATAGGCCTAACTTTCAATGTTTTTATTAAATTGTGATCACGTTAAATACAGTTATCGTCGTATTTAATACATTTCATGACATGACACCCATTATCTGGTACTTGCCAAAAAAGACGGGTTTATGATGTGCGTTGTTAACAGATTACACTATTAGGTTACTTGGAATTGGGTCAACCTCCGCTTATGGAGAGAGAAATAAGTTTTCAAAAGCATCCCCCCTCTGCTTTTTTTACAAATGCACCCTGGTTATAATACTAACTTTATAATTGCATAATTATGTTTCTACTCCAATTAGTCTTTTTTGACATATTTATATTTATTTTTCTGTCATAAAAACTTAACATATTTTTCAAACATACATACTGAAGAACAGTAAAAAGTATAATGGCTGCATCTGAAAGCTCTAAAATGCAGCATTCCAAGGCGTGAAGGCATCAAGGCACGTCCAAATCTAAATTCTGCTTCACTTTCTGTCTCCTGAGGTACCTTCTTCTGATCTAATTCTTAAGGCAGCATAGATGTATCCTTTGCTGCCTTTGATATCCCACAATCTAGGGGTGGGCGATATGGCAACAATATCATATCACAATTTTTTTTAAAGAAATATCACGATTCACAGTTTTATCATGATTCTTTGTCATGTTGGTTTTTACTATTTTGCAAGTTGTCTGATAGGGCTGGGCGATATGTCAAAAATATCTTATCGATAATCGCCTTTAAAAATATCGCGATATCCGATAATATCGTCTACCCAAGCTCCACCTCCACTACGCCCGCCCCGTCGAGACAACATTGCCGACATGCACCATAAACACACACCAGGTTCAGTTTGGTCTTAATTATTGCCACATTAAAGTTTGGTTTTACTTTTCTTAGTTTGTGCTTAAACTAACAGAAAGCTTTGCTGTTATGTTGGTGTTGCTAATAATTTCCACACTTATCAAATTTGTGTTTTAAATGAATTTCGTTTTGTGAGGAGAACTGTTGAGGAAAAATAATAGAACCCAATTTTAAGTTCATCATGTTAAAGTTGGACATTCTGGCGGTGATTGTAAGAATGATAAATGCATGTTGATATCATATAGTAATGTCTTGAATAAAATATGCCTATTTCTGATGTTTCTCTTTCTTTTTTGCATTATCGCGTGTGTAGACACATTTCATGATGGTAAGTTTAATTTCCTTGGTTATAACAAATGTAGCGTTGTTTTTAAACTTGTAGTCAAGCTATAACGTATTTGATATTTATCATACATGACTAAAATCATGCAGGGGTTAAAAACTAATTCTAAGCAAAAACGTTAAGGTTTTTTTTCCTTTCTGGTAGCCTAGTCTCTTTTGGCCCGTTTTGAATTAAATAAAAATAACTGCTTTATTTATTTAGAAGCAGGGGTAATTTAAAGTTAATTTTTGTATTTTAATTTTTATAATTTTTATTTTATGAATCAAAATACAACAGTCACAATATAATATTCAGTGTTGGGCTGCCGAAACTCCGAACGCGTGCATGTTGAGGGGCGAGCTGCGATATAGGCCTACTATAATGTCTTCATCCGTTTGCAGCAAAACTTTATAGTTTTGTTGCATATGAATTAAGAATTTATAGTGCTATATCTCAGCTTAATTAAACATAATTATACTGTATACACTATTTAAAAAATCTGTAAAAATATTGCACTGAAATGTGCGCTGAAGGAATTTGCGTATTTTAATTATACCTGTCATGTTTGTGGTTTTTCATCATTATACAGTCTGTTTAAATAAATATTCAGAAACACATGCAGTGCTACTATTTGTTTTTTTTTCTGTTGAACTTTTATTAAAATGCAGATCAAAATAGAATAGGCCTATACCCTAAATAAAGATCAATTATATTGGAACACATCTCCAAAATAATTGCATACAGAGATGCACTTTGCCATTACAGTCAGCACTGAACAACAGGCAAATAAAATATAAACGGAGGTTACAAAAGTGATTCAGTCAAGATCAGTGAGGGATTTTCTTTTCTTTTGTTCTTTGATTAACATTAATGACTGGCGGCAGCGGCTGCTGTCAATGCAC